ATACACATACATACACATACATCATATATATATCATGAATATATTAATAAAACCTGATTTCTCTCTAATAGAAACAAATATAGAGTTTTACTGAAGATATACACTATATCTCCTAAAAATAAAGATATATATCTTCATTACAGCATGAATCCTGCAATTATATGCTTAAGATAAAATATAAAAAAAATTACATTTTACCAATCAACGATGTTAATGCATCAGATTTAAATATATAAAATAATTATAATAATAGTTTTAGACTGCCACTTCTTGGCAAAATAGCTGAAGTTAAATAAAGATTGATAATAGTTTTAGACTGATTTTTTTACCTGTCATTACTTCAACACGTTGACCATCAATGATTTGTATTTTTTTCTGCCTGCCAATTTTCAAAGCCTGTTGTTTCTCTTGTAAAGATGATTCCGGGTCATGAACAGCCATATGTCGGATAAGATTACCTTTATGTCTATATAACAAAATTTATATTTCATTAGAAACAATTGTACTGATAATCAATTTTATCATATCATCAATTATTTCAAATAATCAATGCACACACCTAAATGCTCTTTCGCATTCGGGACATTGATGCGTTTTTTCTTGCGGTGGTGGAGGAACATAGGAAGGATTATGATAGAGATTGCAGTGCCGTTTGAGTAACTGTTTTTGCCTAAATGATTGAAAGCAATGATCACATTGGTATGGCTTTTGATCGGTATGAATGAGCATGTGACTCTCCAAATGACGCGCCGATATAGACGCGTATGGACATAAATCGCACTTGTAACATTTCTCTCCTTCATGAGTTTTGCTATGCAACTTATAACTATATCTGCAATATATAATATCTATGTATTAAAAAATATAGTTTACTCTTAGACGCAATCATAATTTTTCTCTAATTCGTTCATATATTTGATTGTTCAAACACACACAATTACCACAATGTAAAGTCTTATTATATTTAAAGAAATTATTTGCATACCTATCCGGGAATGTTTTTCCACAACGTTTACATTTTAAAGGTTTATCAGAAGTATGTAATTTTTGCACATGGATCCTGAGATCCGTTTTTCTGCCACATGTAGCTGGACATAATTCGCACTGAAATACTGGTTTATCGCCTACTGCAATATACATGAAAAAATAAGTTTGGATAAATAATACTTAATCTTTACATATGACTGATACAAAACATAAAGCAAGTAGCGTGCACATAATACTACATTTTTATACATAACTTACCATTATGTATTAATTTATGTGCTTTTAAACTGTTAGACTGAGTAAATCTTGCTTGACAAAAATCACATTCGTATGGTTTTTCTCCAGTGTGAATGCGAAGATGCCGTTTCAGTTTAAATGTATCTGGACTTGCATATGTACAGTGTGGACACTGAAAAAATAATTAACAATAAGTGGAAAAACTGGCAGATAAGAGCCAAGGCGCGGGTATTGGTGCGCAAACTTATTATTGTTAAATTTTTTTAATAAATGTGCATTAAAAATGTAGATTTCAGACAGTTTTTTGGTCCATCTTTAGTATGGATATAAATATATAAAGATTATATTGGAATTTTAAAATTTGGCATACATAATATTTGTTGTGGCAGACAAATTTTAAAATTCTAATGTAATCTTTATATATTTATATCCATGCTAAAGATGGACTAAAAAATGGTCCAAAACGTACATTTTTAATGCACATTTGTTAATAAAATTCAGCGATAATAAGTTCGCGCACCAATACCCGCGCCTTGGCTCTCATCTGCTAGTTTTTCCATTTAATTGTTATTACTCTGAGCCTATTGCTGTTATTACTGAAAAAATAATTAAATATTGTATTTTAGTCAGTACTTAATATAGAGCTAATACACTTTGTGAGTAAAATTTATAATAGTTTTATATACTTAAAGATATTAAGCAAAAATAAATATTCCTCAAAGATAGAATGTCATAAATAATCATAATACTTAAAGAATAATTAATGAAGAAAAACTCTACCACAAAGTCCATAAATTAAATGCATAATATAATGTGGAAACTGTGCAGTATAGAAAAAAATTAATAAATAAATAAATCTGATATAGATGTCTTCAGATACATGCGCACATGTAATTTCTATGTTAGCAATTAATGTTCAATTGTGAGCTAGCACATACTTCCATGTGTGCATATATAATTGCACAATTTATTTTTTTTTCATGCTTATATAATTAAAAATAGTGCATTTTTATGGTTTTTAATGTGTGTTTATAATGTGTGATGTTAAAGATAAAGATAAAATATACCTGATAAGGTCGTTCGCCTGTGTGACATCTAATATGTCTCTTCAGTTTTGACAGCTCAACAGATGCATAATCGCACTCGTGACATTTGTGCGGTTTTTCATGGGTATGTCTGTACCGAACATGTCTTACAAGTTCACCTGTAAATATAAGTAAGACATATTTTATAATTTTTACTTTTGCATGTATTTAGATTTGATGAAATAAAATATTTCTAACTTGCCAAACTTTGAGAAATTTAAATATTTTTATTCTATTTGTATAATAATTTATACATTATATATATACATTATTATATAGAAAGAAAGAAAGGAAAAAAAAAGCCCAATATGCATTTTAATATGTATGATGTGTAAATAAAAAAGCAAATAACAATTAATTACATACCAGAAGTCGTAAATGCACTCTCACAAAATTTGCAATGATGAGGCTTGGTCCCAGTATGAGTATTCACATGATTCTGAAGCGAAGCCAAAGTTTTAAATCCTCTCTCACAAACGCTACATTTATGCGGTCTTTCTTCTGAGTGGGATTTCATATGCCGTGATAAGAGATACCTGTTACATATATAAATTATTTTTCTTTTATATAATTTTTCTAAAAAATTGATTTTAATATATAGTAGTAAATTGAGAAATCATGACATAATACAGAAATATAAAAAAAATATAATTATGTATGATGAAAGCAGTACCGTTTTGGGCTGGTGTAGTTGCAGTAGTTACACATATGGGCCTGCGTTACAGTTTGAGATTTTTTAGGAAGAAATTTAACGATTTTAGTCTTATCATCTTCCGCCTCAGATTCCACTGGAGCTTCATTGTCTTCATTGTCCTCAAAGTCATATACAGTGAGATCTTGTTCACCTTCTGCCTCCTCTCCCTCTGCTGCTGCTGCTGTCCCTGTTGCTGCTATTGTTTCATTTTCTGCAGGTTTACTTTCTTTTTCTTCGGATTCAGGTTGCTGAACTATCAGAACATAACTAACTTCTCCAGGATTTGTGTCAGATGGTACAATCGTGACAGTTTGATATGCATCACCAGAATTAATTACAACTTGATTGTTTTCATTAGTGGCAACTTGTCCCTAAAATTTATTTTCGTATATAAAATATGTTTCCATATTTTAAAAGTATAGTTATATCATTGCAATTCTAATATTACTTACATCTTCATCACCCTCAGCATTTTCAAGCTCTTCAATTTCATGATATTGTTCATCTTGAGTTGCTTCCCCTTCATTTTGTACATCGGTTTCTTCTACTTCTTGTATTTGCACTTGTGTCATCACAGGCGGTTCATCGCTATTTGCCTGGTAGTAATATTGACCAGATTGATCAACAAAGTATGTCCCACCCTCTTCTCCACCAGATAATCCCTCCACTTGTTGTACTATAATAAAATATGAGTTTAAGTATTGCTTGATATAAATATCTAAAGAAAAAAGGAAAAAAGACTATTGCAAAATACCAACATTGCACATGCAATTGTTCTCCTTGCCCTCCCTCTATTTCTTTATTAAATGTTTCTAAGTAAGTTTGTATCTCTGTGACAGATTCTTGTCCCTCTTCCAATTTTATGGTTGCTACGTTACTTGTCATGATTGAAGCATTTAACTCACACAATAACACTTATATTCATTAATCTGTCTCTTTCTGAAACATTATATTATATTAATTCATATATATATTATTAAAACATGTCCATGGATAATTTGAAAATATGTTTATATATTTATTATAATTGTAAATATAACCAACATTAACATAAAACTTCTATATCAACAATTACGCACACATTGACATTCCAAAAATAAACATAAAATTGGCAAGTATGCATTACATAAAATATATAATGTATATCTTTTTCTCTCACAAATTTTTCCTCCTACAGATGCTAATTGCTGTTTACAAGACGAAACATGAAATAATTGATTACTTAAGATTTAGGACAGATAATTTATTAATTTAGCCTTCTACCTTTCATTATCTAGCTTAAATATCGCGAGTCTACATCGTGAGGAAACACCGAGTGTGCCTACAAAATAAACCATTTTGATCATCAACAAAACTGAAAACATCTTTGTGATACACGTCGATGACGTTGTTTTTCTTGGTGCATCGCTTATCCGCGTTACGGTTGTACGTCCGAGAATAGGAGCAAATCATGATTACGACGATATGCATTTCCACGCAAATTAAAAAAAAAAAAAAAAAACGCATAGCGCGTTGTTACGCGGTCGCGACAGATTTCTGCGAAATTGTTAGCTGGCCTCGAACTACTATTCATTTACATATCCGATATATGCGACTCTTTGAATCATCTCAGAAAAAGCATAAGGCAGTCATCACAGAGGAGTAATCTATTCGCAAGAAAAAAATGCAGCAATTATCTACTACTGTATTTACGTAAATTTATTATAGACATAGCTTGAAAGAACGAGAATTGCACGGGAAAATCTCGTTTCGCACGCCTTTTTGCGTAAATTGATAAAATTATTTCAAAATTTCCCAGCTCTTTACGATGAAATTCTTTGTGGCAAAAAAGCGATATCGCATCCTTTCCGAAATGACCGATTTAACTGATGATACACGAGGGTATGAGAAAATCTCGCAGATGCTTACAACGTATACGAGTGTGTCGGTCGTCAAAACGATACGCTTCTTTAGCCTTTTAATCGTCGTCGACGCATTTCCGCGGCTACGCGATTCGCATGACCAGCATGTAATTAGCCCGCCTGTAATTTCGCCTCACATAACGCGCATAAAGACCGTGGACGAAGGGCCAGATGGTGGCCCTAAAATAAAGAAAGAGAGAGAGAGAGAGAGAGAGAGAGAACCCTCTTCTCCACCAGATAATCCCTCCACTTGTTGTACTATAATAAAATATGAGTTTAAGTATTGCTTGATATAAATATCTAAAGAAAAAAGGAAAAAAGACTATTGCAAAATACCAACATTGCACATGCAATTGTTCTCCTTGCCCTCCCTCTATTTCTTTATTAAATGTTTCTAAGTAAGTTTGTATCTCTGTGACAGATTCTTGTCCCTCTTCCAATTTTATGGTTGCTACGTTACTTGTCATGATTGAAGCATTTAACTCACACAATAACACTTATATTCATTAATCTGTCTCTTTCTGAAACATTATATTATATTAATTCATATATATATTATTAAAACATGTCCATGGATAATTTGAAAATATGTTTATATATTTATTATAATTGTAAATATAACCAACATTAACATAAAACTTCTATATCAACAATTACGCACACATTGACATTCCAAAAATAAACATAAAATTGGCAAGTATGCATTACATAAAATATATAATGTATATCTTTTTCTCTCACAAATTTTTCCTCCTACAGATGCTAATTGCTGTTTACAAGACGAAACATGAAATAATTGATTACTTAAGATTTAGGACAGATAATTTATTAATTTAGCCTTCTACCTTTCATTATCTAGCTTAAATATCGCGAGTCTACATCGTGAGGAAACACCGAGTGTGCCTACAAAATAAACCATTTTGATCATCAACAAAACTGAAAACATCTTTGTGATACACGTCGATGACGTTGTTTTTCTTGGTGCATCGCTTATCCGCGTTACGGTTGTACGTCCGAGAATAGGAGCAAATCATGATTACGACGATATGCATTTCCACGCAAATTAAAAAAAAAAAAAAAAAAAAAAAAAAAAAAAAAAAAAAGAAAAAAAAAGAGAAAGGGAAAGGAGTTAAATATTCATACATTTAAGAATGACATTTCGCTAATGTTTTAGCTGTTATAACATTATTTAAAATCGATTTTGATTGATAAGATGGTATCGCGTATATTCAAATTCGCGCATTACAAAATAAATTATTTATTTTAATCGAGAACTTTCAATTTAGTTATATAATAATTGTATATTAAAATTGAGCAACAATTTAGTCATGTAAATTAGTAAAAATAATTTTTTTTTGTACATATGTATATCTGTATCAAGTTCTCATAATTTTTTTCATCCATACATTATAAATATTATTAATATACACAATTAATACATTTTCATAAAAAAATTGATTGACAGATGAATTTATCTGCGAAGGTGATAGCAAAATTTAATTTTAATTTATATTATCATATTTCTCTTCCTTTTCCTTTTTTTTTTTTTTTTGCATCGCAGTACCGTTAAAATCAATAAAGTGACAATCAGTGACAGGTAAGAAACTTGGAGCACCGCGAAGCCTCGGTACTTGACGCGCGATCGAGCGAGCAGAGTCCCCGAGATTGTTCGCGGCGCCGGTTTCTCGGTGCGCGCGACTATCATCAGGGATGTGCACGCGATTACGAGGAACGTGATGAGCGCCGCGGAAGCGACGCGCGCCATATGACGCGCGGGGCGACCAACGGTGCTGGGGGGACGACGAACAACGCCATGAACGGCGAGAGAGGCGAGCGCGCCATGACGGGCGACATTGGGCGACGCCAGCGAGGCGAGACGAGAAGCGGCGAACGACCCGCGTGGAGATGCGTGAGATACCTGGGGGGCACCGTAATCGCGGACTCTTGTAGCACACGGCGGGGGCCCCACGAGGTCGCGCATTCTGTCGGGGAGCTTTTAAGACAACGCGGGTGCTTTCGATCTCAGGACACAGGGGGCATTAACGACAAAAATTTCAGAAAATTATCACCGTCGGCGCTGTCATCAATATGGAGGACACGAGCGACGATGCCGTTCCATTGCCTCGCGTGTCACCGAGGGGCGATTGATCGCCCAAGGATATTTCGAGCACCTCCGACCGACCAGAGATATTCAAGTAGACTCACCGCTCGTCACCGTAGGATGGAATTGTGCGCGCGATCCAGGACGAGACGACACGAAGCTTCGTAATAATCACATAAACCCACGTTCGTTCGCGTGAGGGCGTTGTGTAAGAGGCAATATGGCCGATCGAACTGCGAAGGTTCAAATGCTGCGCTGTGCTGCGCGTTGGTAGCTGCGCAGTAGCATGTTGCGCATCGCTCTCTCGTGTTCGTGTTTATACACCACCTCCGCGATTGCCGTTTCTGGTATTTCTCGAGTGCCATCGAGTCTCCGTGTCCTGAACGTCCTCAACATCCTGAACTCGACAGCTCTGCCATTATTTTAAAACCTATCTGGGCAAATTTGCATAACCACACATAATCTACCTATATGCACGAAAAATCAATCAATAGTTGAAGGACAAAGAAGCATTGAAAGGAAGTCGTACTGCTACGTTGCTTGCATCGGACGTGTAATTGTTCAATTTTTTATGCAATTTTTTATTATGACTAAATCCATTGAACCTTTATCCCGCAATTAATCATGCCCATGCAATTATCATTGTAATTATGCGTAAAACGCAACCTAGGCACGATAGCCAATCAATCTCTCGCTTTTGCTAAAATAATAGTATGTAATGAAAAGTGATTGGTTCTCTCTCTACCGTCGTCGTTTCTTATCTAATGCTTCTTATCAATTGGTTGATTTTCCTCTACTTATATGTTATATTGTGCACATCTATCTGAATAGGCCTTAAAAGTTATTGGTTAACCAAAATTTGCGCGAAAACTAACGTAAATCATTATCAATTTGCATATTTGCTTTCCCAAATTATTTTTGTATAATTAGCAAATATTGAAAAAAATACTAATTGATTCTTTATATAATGATTGATAGATTTGCCTGATTTTTGCCTGTCATTCAGTCATGACATGTCAATAAACTTTGCCAGCAGAACACATAAATTTAATGCAATTGATATGTTGATATATTACAATCATTGAACTACATAAAAGATTTTTATCAGTGTGATTAAAACATCTTTCCAAGTTACAATACATATATTTTTAAAATTACTTATCTCTCAATCATTAACTAGAGCCATGTATAGCAAACAATACTAAAATGATTGAATACAACAATGTCAAAAGCAAAATCATTAAAGATATGTACAACAACTTACATACGTACGCACATTAATCCACATTTAAGTTTAATACATAATCATCAGAGGATAGTTTATAGAGTATGTATAAAAGCTTATAAAAATAGTGTAGTTTCATAATATAGCTTTACAATATTATAAAGTTAATAGGTATACTAGTTATGCATACTCTTTATGTATTGTGTTACAGAACACAATGGTAACCGCAAAATGTTACCACAATGGTGATAACTTATTAAATGAAAATAACATACATATATATCGGATGTTACATAAGAAATTATGAAATTAATGTTTATAAAAACATATAAGTATTTTTATAAATTTTTATAGAAGAGAGGAAAATAAAAACTTAAATATATTAACTATGTTAATAGAGATTAATTTTTATGTATTCATATATTAGAATTAGAATAGAAACATTTGTTAACATTTTTTTCCTCATATATATCAAAGTTATTATAAATATATATTTTATACTTTTTTTTAGTTACCATGATGAATGTGGCAGTTTTGTTGATCCATCGAATTTTTAATATCCGTTCTCAGAACATAAACCAACAATATTGCAACTAAGATTGTCAATATCATATAAATTAAAAGCATGTATCTTACAGTAACAATCTCACTGCGTAACTTGCCACAATTTTCTTCTAGAAGATTTATCTGGAATTTTGAACATGATACATCAGCATAAAAAAATTTATAGTTTATAATAAATATTTTTATGAAATATATATGTATGTGTATATGAAAGCATGCATCTTAATTTACATACCTTAGAGAAAAATGCATCGATGTTACGATCATTTCCTGTAGAGGTTAATATAGAATGAGATTTTTGGATCTCATTGTTTTCACTGTTACCATCGCAACATCGTAGTCTATGCATTTCTGATGCTTTTTCAGACTATAAAGAAAGAGAGCATACAACACATTAGCATCTTAATGATCTCATTCATAAATATAATTAAAATTTATAGTTATTGATATTTTATACAATAACATGATAAATATTGAATTAGAGAATGTAAAAAAAACAATTTACCTTCCAGAGCGCAGTTAGTTCTTGTGGTGTTGCATCTGCATTTTTTAATGAAAGGCACATGACTAAAAATCGATCATTATGTAATAAACCACGTATATTATAGCCAGGTTGTAATATAACCACAACATTTCTTTGTTCGGATGGTTGCAAGATTCCAGAACTTGGCCTTACTCTAAATTTTTCAGGGGATGTTGTCTTTATCTACAAATTATAGCACCTATATGTCATATGCCATTATGTCTGTGTTTTTGTCTCAATATACTTTCATAAATCTATTCTAATAAATATGATTATATAGTAATAAAATAATATAAAATATACATACCTTATAAGATAAAGACTTATCAGTTGTAACATTTCTAAGAGTAATTTTTCCTGTAATGTCATTTCCATCTTTATTAAATGTAATTGCTTCTACAGGTTCTATGGATAATACTGAAACAAACACAATTTAAAGATGTGGATATTTGTTTTTTTTTTTTTTTTTTTTTTTTTTTTTTTTTTGCTTTCCTTTTACATTTTCCGTCATGTACTCTTACCACCCTCTTACATTAAACTATTTATTGAATGCTTTATCTATATATCTTCACCTCTATTTATCAAAGTCGCCTTAAGCAAACTCACTGTAATCTCACGACTACAACTGCAGTTTCCTTTAGAAAGATGGAAGTTTTTTATCTTGTGGATATTTTTTTTTTTTTTTTTTTTTTTTTTACTGATTAATGTTAGATCTTATATAATAAATTCATGATAGCATAATAAATGTTATACATACATTGTTCTTCATTAGTCTGTTCTCCAATATTTGGAGATGGGCTTTGTTCTGTAATTGGTGAACTTTCCGCAAAATGCACCTAGAGAATATATAGCATATGTTTAAAGAAGAAATCAAATAAAATTTCTGAGAATTATTAATAACTTGATATATACATCTTGTATACATTCCATATTTAGTTTTTTTTATGCGTACTATATTTTATATGAATACTATATTGTATTATTAGGTTAAGCTTTCTTATTTTGTTTCTATAGATATAGGAAGCATAGACTGCTTGTAAACGAATCAAACATAGCAACGCAACAAAAGAAATGAGAGAAAATGTCCAACAGAAAAAGATGATGAGTTTCATTAAGTAATTTCAGTTTAGTAACTCTATTTTTTCACTCATATGAGTAAAATTAGTTTTGATATATTTTATATTACAGATTTGATAGTAGTAATTTGCCTATATCTGTTTATTTTATTTCTTAAATGTTAACAGAAAGGAAAGGAATAGAGAGGGAATGAAAAAGCATAGTGAAGTTGAGCTATCATAAAAATAAAAGCAAAAGAACAATATCTTGATATTTTCTGCTTCATCATAGCAATTGCAGTTCCATAAATAAAAATTTTAATTAAAGAATATATATAAAAGATATATATGTACCTTTTTATTATCCAATTTGCCATTCAATACACCATCTTCATTTGTTCGTACCTCTGACACAAATTTGAATACATAATCACTGTTACCTCCCCAAGATTTTAATGCATCATTTGGATCGACAAACTCTTTCAATGTTGTTTTGTTAACAAGTTTGATTTTTGGAATAGCTTTAGCAGGTAACCATGATTTTATTAATTTAAAAGCTGTATTTAAAATCCAGGGCATCTCGAAAATTATGATGTAATTCAGAAAATTCGGATAATAAGATTTGAATAAATTAATGAGGTATTTAATAAGTTCCATATCCATATTGGAAAGTCCAGCCTCTGCCATATCAAAGAAAAGCGATACCTGACTTACTTCTCTAAAAATGCAATAAATCAAAAATCCATTACCAACAGAGTATGAACATATTATAGATATATTAATGATATATACATATTTGTGATTCTACCTGAAAAAAAGAAAGCTTATGGATAAAAAAATTTGATTTTAAGATTTCAGTTGATTATGTATTTAAAAACTCGTTTCTTCAAAATAGAAAAAAAAATTTATATTATCAAGAACATTTTACTCGTAAACTTCTTTTCTTCAGGCAGAATCATTTGCTGTTTTTCATAAAATTAAGATATATGTACAATACCTTTCTAATCTTTCAAACCAGTAAACTATACATCTCTGAAGTTCTGCAAAGTCTTTTACTCCTTTAACGTGCAATTTTAACTTAATCACAAGAAGTTTTTTGCCATCTTTATCTTTACCATAGCCAAAGCATGATCCTTCTTCTAAATATTCTTTTTTCACATTATCTTCAGTTATATCTGTAATTCAGTAATGTTATAATGAAAGGCGAAAAAAAAAGATGTTTTATACTATACTATTAATATTAAATATTAATATACAAGTTATCCAAATTAATATAGATTTACTAGAATAATTTTTGTCATTTTTTGTTATCAAAATATCTATAAAAGATAGCAAAAACTAAGAAACAAAAACAAATACAAAATAACAGTTTTACCATTTGCTCCAAATTTTCTTCTCCAAGTACAAGTATCCCAAAGCATATTGAAAGCTTCCTGTTCATTGAAATCAGTAGCTTCTAAAAATCGTTTTAACCAATCATCATTATTCTTTATTCTGGCTATATCAGCAGGGTGAAAACCTTCTGCAAATAATATTTATCTGTCAGATTAAGCGTGTAGGATTCATGAGAAAATAAATCACTATCATATATATATATTTTTTTAACTCTAAATAATGATAAGATACGTGTGAGTATCTGATCAATTATTAACACCGCGTTCCTTTTGCTACACATTAATTTGACGGTGTCAAATGTTTTCATTTGAATATGCGATTGACTGGCACGACCTTTGCACATATTACATGAGCACAGTTACAACACAATGTACGGCAAATTCGCGTTACAACGGCAGAATTCGCTTTCGATGTTGAAAGAGGAGGAATGTACACACTAGGATCGGGTGGTCCCTCGTCGTCCAATTTTTTGAAAAACTTATCGCGAAGCTCTGCGATCGTCTTCGTATTCGTTTCCATCTTCCTTCTGTCTGGCTACTGGCCGGGAGAATGACACTTTGACCGGCACCGAGAACCAATTTATTCGCACGCCTCATCTATGCGCGCCACGCCGCGCATGCCATTCGAACTCTCCTTCTAACGGTGCTTCCATCAGTTACATACTTTTTCCATATTTTTAAAGTAGAATCTATTTGGGTCTCAATGGGAGAGAAAAGGAGAGCAACAAAGTGTAAAAATAAGGCAATTAAGAAGAAGAGATTTTGCGCTTATCGCGAATTAATCGCGGAACATGTCAAAGAAATACTATGTAGTGTTCGTAGATAACACTGTCAAACTCACGCGACTCATCGCGTATTCTTAAACATTATCAATTTAACGCGATTTTTTATCTTATCTTCCTTGCAATGTTCCCTGTATTACGGTATGCAAAGCATTATTTATCACAAATAGGTAATTAGAGTGGAATTGTATGTTTACGATAAATTATTTCTAGCTATAATAGAATGTGTCATATATATAGTCTCGAGTATTCTCCATGCTTGAATCAGCTGTGAAAACAGCCATTTTGCAGTCATCAGCTGTCATATACGTTATCACACTGCGGAAGTATTTATTACGTGCGAATCGGTACGACAATTCGTGACCATTCGTGACAATCTTAAGTTTTCAAAATAATAATTTAGTTAACGTGATATTTGAACATAAAAAAGAACTATAAATTAAGCACGTAATCCACATATGTGACATGATGGCTACATATAATAATATTATATTTCATCGTAGATCATCATATTTTCGCTTGTTTTAGGATTTATAGGATAATAACAACCTAAAATAAGTGAATATGGATGATGAAACATTGAACAGGTAGTTGTACGATTTTGCATTGTGTTATTACGTTTATAATAATAATTTCTAACTAATATACAATCTCAATAGTGTCCCAAGTGTATAAAGTTTTTGTGTTAGGAATATATATAGTTTAATAATGGCTGAGTTTTATTTTTGCTTTAAATTGAGAAACTTAGATATTAAAGTTACATTTCTTAATATATTGAATCATAACCATAATATAAGTTTATACTTGAACAATAATTGAGCATGCATCCGAGTTTTTCCTATTGATACATTTTAATACGTAAATACCTGTAAAAATAAAAATTTATCAAATTTATATTTTATTTAATATTTATAATAATTTAATCTTTATAATTGCAGTTTATATTGTTGTTGCTATGAAATATAAATATATATTATAGACTTGCAGTTGAAGCTTTACTGGAAGAAGCTAAGCTTGGTGCACAAAGGGCTGAAATAATGGGACCTAGTGGATGGGTAAAACCTAAAGAAACTGTTAACAAAAGATTTCTCCATTCAACATTACGAAATGCAGTAATATCAAACAAGCATCGTTCACTGAAACAAGAAAAAGTGAAAGTTCAATCACATAAAGCAGATACCATTAAAAAATCATAAACTGCTATGTATATATAGTATTATTCTTGTACACTTGTGTTAATATATATATATTCTCGTTATACCATTTTCAAAGCATATATTTACCATATTTTATAGGTATATAAACATATATTTAAATACTGCTGCTAAATAATTGTTTCGTATTTATTTCTTTTATTATAGAGTACACTCGTGTTACATCTTTTTCTATAAAATAAAAAAAAATTTCTTTGTAAACATACCAATAAGGGTATAAAAAGAATTACAGATCACAATTATCAATATTGTACAAAAATATTTCGAATGTTTCGCAAATATCTACATTCGTTTTCGTGTGCCAATATTTAATAATTTGTTCTTTGATAAACATATTTTATATCTTTTAGTTACTTTTTATAAATTCTTAATTGTAATTTTCATAGAAATCACTTTTATTTACAATATCAGTATTAAAATCACTCTGATAAATGTAACACATAAAATTCTATTATACAGTGTTTCATATCTCTCTAATTTTTAGAGAGACATCATCAAAACTTTCATTAAATATACAAATATGAAATAAAGTGTACAAATATGTATATCTTTTCATCTTGTATATTTCCTACTACCTCTTTGCATATTTAGCTTAAAGATCAATAAAAATTAATTGTGTAACACCACCAAGTAATAACAAGTTTTATAAAAGCACCAATATCTTTAAACTTATATAGCTTTAACAAATATATATAGAGTGTAGAAAATATAATCGTACACTTTTTTTCTAAGTATAAAATTACTTACTAATTAGTAATTACTTACAAGTAAAACATTTTGCATTGATAAGTTGCACATATTGATATATGGCATCATTTAAACATTTACAAAATCAAAGTAATCACATGTTATTTATACATCTGTATTTCACATCAGGTGTTAAACTGACAAGACTGATAAATCGAGATGTCTTTCCATATTAATATGCAGCTAATATTTTTCTACTATTTGCATATATTTATGATGAGAAAAATGTTTCCTTCTCTTATATGTAAATTGCATTGCGTTTACGTCCTTAATTGATGCTAAATTATGATGGGATATTGTGTGTGTGTGTGTGTGTATACATACTATATATATACACATATACACATACATAACATTTTTAAATTGTATTTACATTCTCACAATCGATACGCATGTTATAAATGTTCCCAATTCAGTTATTAATTATTATTTATTAATTATTAATATTTATAATAATAAGTTCGATAATATACTAATTTATATAACATGTGTGAACATTTTCAAGTTTCAATATATATACGATTTCCAAATATTGGTTCTTATGTTTCTGTAGTTATTTAATATCAAAATGCTTCTTAAGTTTGCAATATCATACAACAAAAAATGAAGATTTCATACTTGTACTTTTGCACATTTCTATGCAACATTATTAACAAATCATGAGTAAATTATCAATTTATAAATGATTGTTTAATAACAGAAATACTATTTGATGATATATGACAAACATAAAAATAATTCCATAAAAATCTACTTCTATGCAATTGTATATACTGCATCTTGAATTTTGGGCCCATCATTTTTTTATAATCAATAACATATCTATCAACAGGGTGTCTACTCAAATCTTGTAAAAAGATTTTTTGATCTTCCAGTTATTTTTGTTTAAAATTCTAGGTAAAGAGAATATTTTAAAAATTTCTTGGTGCAAAATAAATGGTTTTCTAAAATAAATTTTTTTATTGTACGCATTTTCTAATGCTTTTCATTCATACGAAGGAAAAACACAAAGCCACTTGAGTTTCAAGTGTTAGATTTACAAATGTACTGAAAAAAAAAAAAAAAATTTTAAAATAAAAAATGTATTGCTTATTCAATATTAAAACATTGAATATATAAAAAGGAATAGATATATATTTATTATATATTTTAAACACATATCAATATTTTGTTAAGATTTATAATATATTTTAAACATATAATTCACAACTTGGTTTATTGGTGAATTGTCTACTGTTTATTTAGTATAAGAGCAAAATTATTAAGAGAATTTTTAAAAAATTTCCCGGGTCGCAATAAAACTCCATGAGAATTCCCTGATCTCAGATACAAAAAAATTGCCTGAAAATTCCAAGTTTTCCATGTTTTTCTAGAGAAAAGTAAACACCCTGTACCGAGAGAATTGCCTATGAGAAATTTCTTCAAAAGGCTATCGTATTAAATTATGTCTACATTATATCAAATCTTTGCATGTGTCAGAATCCTTTTCAGCTATAATCACTTTTGCAAGACAGAAGTGTTGACAAAAGTTTGTTACAAATAATAAATAAATTATGCAGATCCGTTCTGATGTATTTTCTTTTTCTGGTCTAATAAGTTTTTCATATCGTCAAGTGCCTTCTCTATCTGCTTTGCAAATCTTGCAGCATCCTATAAATATTGAAATTGCTTAACAATCACGAGCGTATTATTTAATAAATAAACAATTATATATTACATGTATAACTTTGTATTATAAATGTAAAATATACAATGATGTATGATGAATAACAAAATTTCAAGAAATAAATATAAATGATTGTTGATTATACTAATAAGGATAAAAAAATTAATTTTTTACCGTTTTTGAGGAAGATCGTTTACTAGAGACATGGAAAAATAGAAGATTTTCTCCTGCAATTATATAAGAAACACCGTAGCCATCATCAGCCACAGGTCCAAATCCACCACCTGCTGAAATGCAATCAGGATATTTTTTCAAATCCAATTTTGAAGTTTGACCATGCGGAGTTTGTGATGTTGACAATCTCCACGGTTCACTTAGAACCTCCTATAAAATGTAATAAAATGTTTTATTATATTTTATAAAACTATTAATCAATTATTACATTATATAATTTATTGTTACATTATATAATCAAAAAACTTACCTTCAGAAATGGAGAGTCTACTTCTAAGTACTTTGATACTACATACAAACAGAATAGGTGTCTATCTATCCCTTTACCGCACATGGCATCCTGATAACCTTTCTGATGTTGTGTTACTGCATCCGAGAGTAATCTAATTTTTTCATCCACCTATATATCAGAAAACAAGAAACTCTGTTAGAAATATACGAATAATTAAACATTTATATTTTTACTTATTTCGTCTTTACCGTTGTTGCTTTGTTTTCCATTGCTTTCACCCATTTAGAAGATTCAATAGTGCATGGTCTAACTGTTTCTGTCCTACCTTCTCGGAATAATCTCGTCATGGAAGCTTCGTAAGTTAAACTGAACTTTCCAGCATCGCGATAATATGCCAGTTGAAGTGCCATTTGTATATAGGCATCTGGTGATATGGAATTGGCCTTCATTAAGCCTTTGCCATAAGCATCATGCACGTAAATACGCAACTCAACATCATTCAATATATTGCGTGCTACCTATATATTAAATATAAAATCGATTTATTATATGTAATCGCAATATATCCACTAAATATAGTGTTTAAAAATAAAACTTTTATGTTATATTATTATATTATTATTATATACCTGATAGGATTGCTCAATAGCTTCAATACATTTAGCATTCAGATCCCACTGCAATCGAATTGGAACTGGAGGTGTAAATTCTGGAGTGCCCACAGTATGTCCATCCTTATATCTGAGAGTTTTATATATTTATTTTGTAATAAGCTAGACAATTGTAAGCTTTTATAAGCTTTGGTAAGTCAGTTATTTTTTATTTATTTTTTTGTTTCACAACTCGCTGATCAAGCAGCTAACAATTACATCTTAACATATTAAAAAACATTAGCAAACTTTCATGCATAAATATGTTCATAAAAGCCAAAATAATCACTATATAATTACAGCAGAATAAAAATTGAATATGATTGTTAGGAATGATGCAGTATGAGTGGTTAGTAATTTATATTCCATTATTCTCTATATGAAAACAAGGCATAAATAAAATTACCCAATTTCATTATCAGCAGCTATAATAAATTCCCATAGAGTTCCCATCACCGGTGCATCAGCCCTAATAAGCATATCAGAAGAAAATATTAAAGTCATAATGTGAAAAGAGATATGTAAAAGATATTCATCATCAATAAAAGTATCCAATAGAGAAAGGTAACCTGCAGAAAATAGTATTTAGGAAACTGAAATGTAGGTATAATAAGAACCCCTTTAAAGATGTCTGCCGCAAAGAGTACTGGAAGCACTAAAGATTTGCCAAGATTTCTTTTAAATAAAATAAACATATACATATTGCAGTCTGAACAATTTCGTAGAAGTCTTTTAGACACAAGAAATAGATAGTAATAAATAACAGTTATCTTTTAGAAGCAGAAGAAGAAATATACAAAATGATATAATTCTATAGATTGTAATTCTTACTCTGTGTGCAGGAACTCCGAACATATCACGTACTCCCACAAGTGCGAAATGATTGCAGCATCTGCCCTACTCATTACTTATCATTATATGTGGTGTTTCGATATATACATATGTTTATGTGTGTAATATAGCTTATTTTATATTATTGAAAATGTAGAGCTATAATTGTTCGTAATATATTATATATATTTATATTATATATAATTATGAGATCATGCTCTATGTTTGTTTCCATGTAAAATAGACGAGCTGTATAATATTTCGAAATAATTCCTTTTCTATATGATAAAAATTTGCATAAAAAGATATCGTTATTTTTTATTATTAATATTAATATGTAACCCAACTCCCTAAAATATACTCACCAAGAATGTTCCGCGTTGAAGCCGATCTATAAACAGGAATCATTTTTATGAAATAAAGTTAATCTCAGTTGTTTCATATATGATTGTGAATATATATCAATTACTCACTCTGCCATTGGTTCCAATGCATAGCGTAAATGATTTATCAAACCATCGATCATATCCTTTCCCATGTAATAAAATCCTACCATAATGATCTAATTTGTCCGGGTGAGTCTAAAAAATATGAAATGTTTAAACAAGTATATTAATTTATCACAATCCAATTATTATTCTTTCTATTCAAAATATATCTTTAATTTATTAGATAACATACTGGATCATATTCGTAAGGTACATCGTCCAATGCAACTACGAATGCAGCCTTCTCAATAATATCCAAAGAAGCTTTATTTACACCTTTCACAAAGAAGTCTTTTCTAGCCCGCGCCCAGGCAGTTCTTTCACCAGCCGTTAACGCAGCTAGTTTCTCTTCTCCCTCCGATGGTGTTGAATTGTCATTTAAAATTTGTTGGATCTGACTGTAAAATAATATTTTCCTCATAATAGACATGCACACAATAGATAAGAATATATGCTGATAAAAAAATAAAATAACTTACAGTTCTATTTCGCAGGCTTGAAGAATCCTATTTCGATAATAAATTAACATCTTAAAATATCTGCCCTTATGATAAACTACAATATGTTTGGCGTCTTGGTAATGCACAATCTTGTCAACTTCTATTCCTGGAATTCGTGTAGTGTTAAACACTCTTCCATATTGCCAGGAACATAATGGGACTAATCCTTGTATCAGAATCTAAAAAGGCACATTTTTTCTTTATATATGTGATAAGCTTTACATTTATATTAAACAAAATGTAAAGTATCACAATTTTTATTCTTGTACTTTATATATTTTACTCTTTCAATAAAAAAATGGTACAAACGGAAATATCAAACAATTGAGAAAAATTTTTATATATCATTATAATTACATCATTTTGATGTGACATAGAAAAGTCAGGTTTTTAATATTATTAAATACTGATTTTTTTAAGTAGTTTTTCGTTTTACAAATGCAAGTTTGTATATTTAAACGAAAATTTCTCCATTCTTAGTAAAATAAAAAAAATAAATCACAAAAAGAATACTAACCGGTTCTAATTCTTGACGTTCGATAAGACGTCTATATTGCAAGCAAGAATGTATAACTGCTGCGGCTCGCGCGGCTTGCAAATTCGTAGGATGCGAAAGAATGGCATCGATTCCATAAAAGTTCGAGTTGACCATCAGAGGTGATCTTCCACGCAGATAAACGTACTCCTCCCACCAATCAGACACGTAGTTGGTGGACCACCAAGACTTGAGAACTAAGTAACGCTGCAACTTGACGCCGATGCCATTTTGAAACTCGATAGCCAATCTTTCCATGCGAGCGTAATTCTCATCATCCAGCAATGGTCGTACACTCCTCAAATACTATTTCGTAAACGATATTTTAAATTTTTATCTATAATATTTAAACAGATATGGATATTCTACACTTATTCACTAACGTTTTTTCTATTACCGATAGCATTCTGATATACTAATAATAATCTTATTTAATTTTATTGTATTAATATCCGACATTTAAGAAGTAAATAAAATATACACATTCTAGAATTCATGCCATTAAAACGAGCTTTATAAATAAAATTAAAAATTAAAAAATTTAAAAAAAAGTATTTTATAATAAAGTATGGGTACACGCATCGATAGATTCAATGTATGCAAACGCAGAAAGTTAATGCATCTAACATAAAATCATGATTCATGTTATTGAACTAACCCGTTTCGTAGTCTCGGTTACTGCCGGTAACGGCAATCGTGGCAGTGATCCCTGGAAGCTGTACAGCATAGGTTTATGCCAACCGGAGAACAACTTTACCAGCAAGAACCAGATTTTTGTCATCCCTGATGGCTTGCGAGCCTTACCTCTTGCTTCGTACATCCATCCTTTGTATATAAGTAATAATTTCAACGTATACCGAATCGCGTATATGACCGCTAGCCATAAAAACAGTCCAACTACAAAAGAACCTGCCAGGTGCGCGAGTATAG